CCCCCCACCAGCACCACCAGCACCAGCAGCAGCAGCACCGCCAACACCACCACCATTATTCCTGGCTCCTCTGAAGGCAGCTACCTGGGTGAAAAGGGTGCCCAGTTCCAAGGGGGCTTACCATCAGGGTCCTGGGAGTGATAAATGAGTTAGAGGTACAGATGTGATGAATGGGTTAGAGTTCTAACAGAGACAGGTACAGGGAGTGATAAATGGGTTAGAGTTCTAACAGGTGACCAGGAGAGGCCAAGTAGGTAGCCAACATCTCCAACTAGGCTAGTAGCATCAATCAGGGAGATCTGGGAGCAGGATTCTGGGACCCCCTCAACAAGGTGGCGAAGTAGATAGAGTGCTGGGTTTGGAGTCATGAAGATCTGAGTCCAAATCTGGCCTGAGATAATTACTAGCAGTGTGACCTGAGGCAAGTCACTTAACCTCTGTCTACCTGAGGTTCCTCAGCTATAAAATGACAATAACAACACCTCCCCCCATGGGTTATTGTGAGGATCAAATGATATAATAGTTGTAAAAGCCCTTAGTACAGTGCCTGGAACATAGGTACTACATAAATACTATTATTATTATTTACCCCCTAAGAGATTGGGGCAAGGGAGATGCTAACCTGGACCTCCCTGGACCACTGCCTGTGGCTTGGGGGTGGCCTCTATCATACTGCTATATGGTTGGGGATGAAGGGGGGGGACAAAGAACCAGGCTATCCCAGTGCCCACCCCCTTCCTCTCCAAGTCTACCCCACCTTCCCTCACAGGTCCCCAGACTTCTTCCTCCCAGACCCCAAGCCTGGGGCCCCAGTGTGGTCAGGGATCAGTTCCTCTCCGGCCCCTGGGCTGCCCAGAGCTGGGGCTGGGGCTGGGAAAGGGAAAGGGACAGGACGTAGGGCCATATCTGACAGGAACCTGTGGGCCTGGGGTAGAGAGAGAGCTGGGGCCCAGCTTCCTGAGGGGAGGACCAGGGTCGCATAGCCCACATGCCCAAAGGATGCCAGCCTGGGTGTTCATCCTAGTCATCTGCTGCCTCTTCCTCTTGCCCAGTCGGGCTACCACCCATGTCAGCAATGAAGGTAAGAGGGCAGAGCAGAGGCCCTGTGTCCCCCCCCGTAAAGCCCTCCCCCAAAGCCCTGGCATCATAAGGTAAGGGAGAAAAAGAAAGAGAGGAGGTGAGGGGGACAGAGGAGAGGCAAAAGGACACAAGGGGAAAGGGACAAGGAGAGGAGGAGGAGGGAGAAAGAGTGAGGGACAGAGAATAAGGTGAGGAGAGAATGAGAGGGGAAAGGGGGAGATGCAGGGAAGGAGGGCGGGGTGAAGGGGAGATGAAGCCTGGAAAGAGGGAGAGAGAGAGAGCAGGAGAGGCCTGGAACATTGACTTTCCTGGGGTTGGTGACACTGTTGAGGGGGAGGTTAGGAATATTCAGCCAGGAACTGAGCAGCTATAAAGTACTTACTGTGCGCAGAACACTGTGTTTACCACTGGGGGAGACCCAAAGGTTGCAAGCCATATAATATGTAATTTCCCCGGTCACTTCATCAGAAGGGGGCTAACATAGGAACAAGTACTCTGGAAAGTTGTGACTGACCAGGGCATCTACAGGGGCATCCTACAGGGGGTGACCTTTGAGTTGGTCTGGAGTTCAGCAGAAGAAAGGGAAGGGAGAAGAGCATCCCGGGCCTCAGAAACCTGACGGCCCAGAGAGAAAAGAGGGCAGGACATTCAAGATGGGATGAGAGTAGACCTTAATTCCCTAAGTGTGGGGGCCTCCCTCTACCAATGGAGGCTGGCACCTTCTCTGAATCAGCCAGAGACTGAGACGGCTGCCCAGAGCCCGGAGAGGGTGAGAATGACCCAGCCAGTAGGCATCAGATGGGAGACTCAAGCCTAGGCCTTTCCAATCCTGCTGCTAGCTCTCTATCTGTTAGGCCAGGCTGCCTCTCAAATACCCAGGGCACAGAAGAAGGGGAGCTGGGTTTATGGACTCAAGATCTGGAATAGAAAGGGATCTCTGAATTCATCTAGTCTTTCGAAGACCCAGACTTAGGGTCATCTAGCTAATAGCAGAGCTGTGCTCTTCCTATGCTACCTCTCAGATTCCTCTCTCAAACCTCAGTTTCCTTAACTGTAAAATGGGACAACAATGCTTGAACTCCCTACCTTTCAGGGTGAACCTTAAGGGCCAATGGGTAAGCTATGAGAGGCAATAGTGGGGCCTGGTTGGTGGCTGGAGAGCTGGCCTTGAGGCCAACAAGGCCTGAGTTTGTCTCTGACACCTATTGACAGTATGACCTTGGACAAGTCACCTAACATCTCAGTCAGACTCTCTGAGGCTGGAAGTGGCAAAGAAGGTAGCACGCTGTATTGGTAGGAGGAATCTCTTTGTCTGGAGTTCCCTAGACAAGAAAATCACTGCTCTAACCCTATTATTATTAATGAGTTAAGGGACAAAGTTCCACAGGAGTGTTTATTCAGGGGCAGGAGTGACAAAAAGCAAAGTTAGGATGATAAACTGATTCCAAATGTGAAGGCCTTGAATGCCAGGCAGAGGAATCTGAATCTGAGGTGGGAGGTAATAGGGAGCTGGCTTTATCCCAGCAGTTCCTTTGATGACTTAGCGTTGTTTCTTCTCATTGGTGGTTTGAATCCTGGGACCATCCAGAAGCTGCAGGCACTTCCTGGCCCTCTGGAGGCAGCTAGATGGCTCACTGGGTAGAGTACTGGGCCTGGAGTCAGGAAGACCTGAGTTCAAATGTAACCTCAGATACTTACTAGCTGTGTGACTCTGGGCAAGTCACTTACCCTGTTTGCCTTAATCCACTGGAGAAGGCAATGTCAAATCACTCCAGTTTCCTTGCCAAGACAGCCTAGGGACTATATTTAATGTGCTATGAACCCCAGGGTCACAAAGCATCTCACCTGACTGAACAACAACAATACATTGAGGGTTTCTGTTTTTGTTTGTTAACAAAGGAGTGACTTGATGCTATCTAGGGATGACATCTGGGAATGCAAATGCTGCCTCCTCCAGAAAGCTGGCTGCCCACCCCCCATGCCCCCCCACTCCCCCTTGGCCATTTTCATGGCCCATGAACATTGGACAGAGTTCAATATAGGATCAAGTGTCTAGCTTGCTATCCTTTCCTCAGGGCCAAGGGCCCAGGGCCAGCTCCGCTCCAGATTGAATTCCATGCTCTTGCACACTGGACAAACATTTATTAAGTGCCTACTGTGTGCAGGCACTGTGCTAAGTTATGGGATACAAAGAAAGGGAAAGGACAGTCCTAGCTCTCAGGGAGTTCACAATCTACTAGGAGAGAACATGAAAACAACCCATACAAACAAGCTAGAGACAGGATAAACTGTCACTGGAAAGAGCTGCTGCCCTTACCAGAGGCAGCCCCCAGCTCTCCTCGGCTGCTGAGGTTCTTCTGGCCCAGCTCTGGCTGCCTCTGCCCACCCGGGGGATCCCAACTCCCCCTTTTGAAAAGGAATTTTTACCCAGCCTCTGTATCTGACTCAGTGCCAGAGTTATCTGCATTGTTGCAAAAGCCCAGGAAGCCCCAGAGGCCCACTGCGCACCCCAAGACTACACAAAAGCCTCCTGAGGGGGCTCCAGGCTCTGTAGGGAGCTGTCTGGGGGGCTCAGCTCCTGGACCAGAAGCCCATGACTTTCCAGGCCCCAAGAGACCGCTGGGAGCCTTCCTGCCCTCAAGCCCCTTTTCTTTGGAGGGCATTGTTGCTTCCTCCTCCAGCCAAAGGCTCCAAAGAGCCAAGGACCGGCTAAATGCCATCTGTCACCTGTAGAGAGCTCCCTGTGCAGCCTGCTCAGCCCCTTGCACCACCATCCTCCCACTCCTTCCTCTAGTAATGACCCAGGTCTCTCCCGGGCAGCCTAAGAGCTGGACGACCAGGTAGGTGCCGGACCGGCTAGCCGCCTCTGTCCTCCTGTAAGTCCAGCTCGGGATCCAGCTGTGAGCCCTGTGCCTCTGGCCAGGCCCGGCAGCCCCTGATGCCGGGCCTTGCTTTTCGCTTCTCCCCAGATGCCTCGCTCCTGGCGGCAGAGCCCGAGCCGCTGCGCTGCTTCTCCAGGCAGTATGAGGACCTCACGTGCTTCTGGGATGAGGTAGAGGAGGAAGAGAAGGAGAAAGACTGCGCTAAGGAAGAAGAGGAGGGTGGCGAGGAAGATCCAGGGCCCTACAAACTTTTCTTCGCCTACCCCGGGTGCGTGCATTCCACAAAGTGATTAGTCCCAGGCAACACCCACCGGCTGGAAATGGGGTGTGGGGTGGGAGACTAGGGGAGAAAGAAGTGGCTGGGCTTGGGAGAACCAGAGGAGGGAGAGGGCAGCACAACGGCACAGCCCCTCCGTCAGGTACAGCCTCCTCCGCTCCGACTTCCTCCGCCCTTGCCCCCACTGTACTAATCTGGGGAGCCTAGAGGGGCCCCAGCGCTATAGTCTTTGGAGTGGAGGCAGGGTGGGTGGGAAAGAGACAGGAGAAAAAGGCGACCGCGGCGGGGGGAAAGTGTGAGACAACCAAAGGAGGGGAGGGCGCAGGATGGCAGCACTCTCTCCTCTGGCAGTTCCCACGCCAGGAGAGCACAGGGGCCTCCGGGGTCCCTTAGATCCGTGCCCGGTCCGCAGGGAGGAGCCCCAAGTGTGCCCACTGAGATCTCAGAGGCTGCCCGAAGGAGGGCTCCGCCACGTTTGTCAAGTCCAGCCTGCCGACGGCGTGCGCCTCTTTGCCAAGCTGACGTTGTGGGTGTGGGACCCTGCCAAAGACCGAAACCGGACCCAGCGAGTGCTCAACTTGGAAAACGTGGGTGAGGCCCTGTCTCTGCTGAGTGCTGGCGTCTCCTCACAGCCCTGTCCCCCTCCCTCCCTACAGTCCTGTCCTCTCTCCTCACAAATCTGTCCCTCCTCCCTCTGGGCAGTCCTGTCCTCTCACCTCACAGCTCTCTTCCTCCTCACTCAGAATCACAGAACTTAAAAGCTGGAAGGGACCTCAAAGGCACCAGTCCAAACAGCACCCAAAAAGCACCCCCACTCCAACATACCCGGGCAGTGGCCATCCAACCTCCAAGAAAGGGGAAGGTGTCATCTCCTGGGATGGCCGCCTTCCATTTGGGGACTTTCCTAATTGTGAGCAAGTTTTCAGTTTTTTTCTGACATTGAGCCTAAACTTGTCTCTTTGCAACTACTTACCCCCCACCCCCACCCCTGGTTATTCAAGCAGAATAAGTCTCCTCCACGTGCAGTCCTTCAGATACTTGAAGGCCTTCTCTTCCCCAAACATCAGAGGGTCCTTCAACCATCTGTCAACATTCTTCTTAAAATATGTCACCCAGAACTTAACACAACCTTCCAGGTGGTCTGAGCAAGGCAGAGTACAAAGGCACTGTTAGCTGCCTCTCCCAATGCAGCCCAGAAGTTTTTCTGGCTTCCACACTCTAGTGTGCCCCAGAATGCTCACGCTTCAGTTGGACAAAGCGTGTGTGTGGCCATCTAACCCCACCCTTCTGCCTTTGGACTCATCTTACACTCAGGAAGCTGATTTTCTGCACCCTAGTATTGCAAGAACGCATTTACGTGACTGAATTTCATCTTAGTAGCTGTGACCGAAAATAATAATATTGCTAGCATCGTATAGTGCTTTAAGGTTTGCTAAGTGCTTATAAAATATTATCTCAAAAAATATTATTTCATTTTATCTTTACAATGACCCAAGGAAAGGTAGGTGTTTTTATTTTAAAGATGAGGAAACTGGGGCAGACAAAAGTGAAGTGGCTTACCAAGGGCACTTGAGGTGAATATGGGAGAAGAGAGGGCCTGACAGCTAGCAAGTGTCTGAGGCAGGATTTGAACTCAGGGCTCCCTGACTCCAAATGTAGCCCTCTATCCGCTACTTCACCTAATTGCCCTTTCTAGCCTGTTCCGGTCTCTTCGGCTCTTGACTCAGTAATAGTAATAATTAACAACAATCTGACATTTAGATAACAATTTTAGATTTACAAAATAGTTTACACAATCATCCCATGGTATACCACAAAAACCCTATAAAGAAGGTACTGCTGAAGCTCAGAAAAGAGGAATTAAGCAACTTACTTATCAGAGTCATGCCTGTAGTACATGGTGGAGATGAGATTTCAACCCAGTTCTTCCTAATTCCAGATCCAGTGTACTACCCACTGAGCCACCTAGCTTGCCCATCTAGCCTTTCCAGATCTTTTAGGTTCCTGGACATCATCATCATCATCATCATCTTCTTCTTCTTCTTCATCTTCTTCTTCATCAACATCTTCTTCCTCATCATCACTTACATTTAGGTAGAACTTTCAGGTCTGCAAAATACTTTATATACATCATATTCCATGGGACCTGCTGGACCTGGAATCAGGAAGATCTACGTTCAAATCCTGCCTCAGACACTTAATAGCTGTATCACCCTGGGCAAGTCATTAACCTCAGCTGCCTCAGTTTCCTCATCTGCAAAAGGGGAATAATAATGGCTCCAGTCTGGCAGGGTACTTGTGAGGGTTAAATGAAATAATATCCCTCTTTGTGCACTCATCTTCCCTCATGCTTTCTTCCTCTGGTTCCTGGATTTCCTCCCATGAGCTTTTACTCTCTCTACTCAATCCCATCCTGCCTCTTTCCCCATGTCTTTGGAGTAAAGTATATCCTTCCTGAGCCATATTCCTGTCGTGGATTTCATCCTACCAAATTTCATGATTATCAGTCATCCCATCTGTTACCTTCCCTTTGTACCTTTTTATGTACAGACAAATAAGGCCATGTGTTTTTCTACCAGCCTCCTTCCCGGATGTTGTCTCGGAATATTTGGGTGTCTAAACTGCTTTTCTCCTTCCTACATTGTAGCTACTCTCTGTGGTACCTGGCTTGTTGGAAACACTGGGGCAATTTTCTCCCTTCCCTTTCTTTTTCAATGAAAGCTCTGTAGATTCATGAGACTCTGGGCCACTTCTCAGTCCTGTCCTCACTCTTCACAATCTTGTGCGTCCTCACTCTTCACAATCTTGTGCATCCTCACTCTTCAGCTTTGTACTTACAATCCCGTCCATCTTCAATATTTTGAAGGGATCATTTAGGGTGGTTTGGGGAGTACTCAAGGTGGTGGGGGGCATTTGGAGTGGTTGGGGAAGCACTGAGGTGGTTGCTCCTCTCACCTAGGCCTGCCTGCCCCACCTAAGAGCATCACTGCAGTGACTTCTGGTCAGACTGGGGAGCTGCAGGTCACATGGGAGGTGCAGCCCTCAGAAATCAGTGACTTCATGCAGCATGAACTCCAGTATGGCCCTTTGGACCCCAGCAATTCTGCTCAGCCCACGGTCAGAGCGCTGCTCCAAGCACCCATGTGCTGCCCATTCATGAGGTGGCCACACACCCAGCCACACCAGGCCACTGCAACCCCTAAGCCTGACCTGACTCCAGCTCAGCTTCCAGGGACCCAGTCTATACAGCAGTATCCTACCATCGAGGGACCCTCCAGAAAAGGATACATGAGCCAGGGACCTGCCATCAGGGGACACACGGTGCCACAGTGGGATGGCCCAGGGCAGCTTGGGGCCACCAGAGAAGTACCCCGCTTTCTCTGGCCCCATCTTCTCTCACCCTAGGCCCAGAACATTTCCTTTGGTCGTGGACAGAAATGACCATGCAGCTCCCTAGTGCCCCATCTTGAAGGCTATCCTTCCCCTCTCTCTCCCCAAGATGACATGTTCAGAGTTTGGAGATTGAGGTTTCACGTGGCCCAGGAATTATCTGCTTTCTCAGGGCCACTTTAGGGCCAAGTTCATTATTGATGAGTCATGGATTCATCACTAATTCAGCCCCTCTGAGCCACCTACTTACCAGAAGTATAAAGGAACCCAGTATAAGGGCTCTCCCCCAGTGAGGGATGATATCCCCCAGAAGCTGGTCTTGGGATAAGAATGACCCAGATAGTCTCTTTCTATAAGGTAGTGAGCTCCCCATTATTGTAGTATACAAGGGATAGGGATATGGTGGGAGGGGCAGATTACATGGAGTGGGGGAAGGAAGGTAGACTAGAGGAACCCTAAAGTCCCATACATTTCTGAGTCTCTGATTCAGTGTTCCCCCCTCTTCAGTACCAAGAACTAATTGGTGGAAGCTGTATCATCTCAGGGTTTCAGCCTGGGATCTCATATTGGCTCCAGCTCCGGAGCAAGCCTGATGAGATCTCCCTCAAGGGTTTCTGGGGACCGTGGTCATCTCCTGTGACCGTGACTCTGCCACGAGATGCAAGTGAGTCACCTGAGGGAAGGGAGTTCGATTGTGTAGAGGGACAGGGTCGGGGAGAAAAGAAGAATTCTCCACCCACATACACAGACACAACACAATGCAGGAGAAGTTACTAGGGAAAGGGGGGGGGGGTTCGGGTGGGGCCCAGCACAGTCTCCATCTCCTGGCCCAGGTGAAATTGGGCTGCAGTGCTTTACTCAGGACCTGGAGCACATCACGTGCCAGTGGCAAGGACCAACTCATCCCACCACCTCCCATGGCTACTTCTACCACTGGAGAGCTGGCAGCTGTCCTAAGAACAGGTGAGCAGGCAGGGGTAAGCCAGTGGGGCTGGCAGTCTGGCTAAGGAGAGGTCTGAGTCTAGGGTCACAGAGCTACTCTAACGAAGGAAAATAAGGAGTCAACTCTCTCTCCTTTACCATCCATATCTAAACCATCATTAAACCGACCTGGCCACCATTCCTCGGCAAGGTCAACCACCAAGCACTGATTAAGCATTTATACTGTGCCAGGCACTGGGTTAAGTGCTGGGGATACAAAGAACATGCTCCCTGCCCTCAAGGAGCTGGAAGTCTAGCCGGGAGACAAATAAGTAAATATATAGGTACAATAGAAAGTAGATACAAAGTAACCTCAAAGGAAAAGGCACTGGGAGGGGTGAGGGGGTTGGAGCAGGGCCAGGAAAAGTCTCATGTGGAGAAGGCTGTGTTTCAGCTGGGTCTTGAAGGAAGACAAGGATTCTAAGAAACAGATGAGGGAAAAGTGCATTCTAGGCATGAGGAACAGCCAGTGCAAAGACACAGAGACCCATCTGAAGAACCCCAAAGCAGGATTATCGAGTGAATGAAGGGGAGTTATATGTTAAAAGGCTGGAAAGGTAAGAGAGCTTTTGTATGCCAAACCATCTACTCATCCTAGAGGCAACAGAGGGTTGACATAGTCAGACCCACACTTTGGAAAATCACTTTGGCAGTGAAGGATAGATTAGCGAGGGAGGGTCTTAAGCCAGGGAGAACAAATAGGAGGCCACGGCAATAGTCCATATGAAAGGGGACGAGAGCCTGACTAGGCTGATGGCCATGTGAGCGGAGAGAAAGGGAAAGTGAGATGTTCTTGGGCTGGAAACAAGATCTGGCCACTGCGTGGATATGTGGGATGAGAGAAAGGAAAAAGATAAAATAATAATAACACTAATAATAATGGCTCAAATGTATATGATCCTTTAAGATTTGTGGAGAGCTTTATAAATATTATCTGATCGTAACAACAGTGGGGGGGAAGTATTATTATCCCCATTTCACAGATGAGGAAACTGAGGCAGACAGAGGTTGTGACTTGCTAAGTTTACACGGGAGATGCAGGATGTGAATTCAGGTCTTCTTGACTCCAAGTCCAGTGCTCTATCGTGATTCGTGAACCTGGATAACCTGGAAAACAGTGGTGCCTTTAACAGTAACAGGGAAGGATAGAAGAGGCAGAGTTTGGGGGACAGGGAAAGAATTCCGTTTTAGACATATCAAGTTTGGGATGTCTCTGAGACATCTGATTTGAAATATCCAATAGGCAGTGGATGATATGAGATTAAAGCACAGACTGGGGCTGGAGCTACAGCCAGTCTGGCTGGAGATGGTAATGTCGCCTCTGGGAATTAAACTAGGGAATGAAAAGTAGTTCATGAAATGCTCACTCTGTGCAGAATGCTGTAGGTATAAATAGAAAAGTGAGACAGCCCCTGTTCTGCCAGTGCTAATGGGTGGAAACAACATGTACAGGAGGGCTCAGCTTCAAGTCCGCTGAGGAAAATGAGTCCTTAGGGGACAGCAGCCAGGCAAATGGTAATACATCTTCTTTCTAGTAACTTCTATCGCTAAACCCTCATCTGTTTCTGGTGCCAAGGACTTCTGGGGTAAGAACTTGTCATTTTCAGAGCTTTAGTTGCTATGGCTTCTGGGAAGGCAGGGGCTGTAACCCCTACTGAGACAGTTGTCAGGTCCCATCTCACGGTGGGGACATGCCTGGTGACCTGGGGATGGGGAGGGGCATGGGGTGCTGCTAGTCCCTGGTCTCATGGCATCAGACTCCTTACAGAGTCTGAGGGAAAGTGGTGGTCAAGGTGGTGGCCGTGGCTTAACCCACCTGCATGTGCCAACCCCTGCCTCAACCCTCAGAATGCCTTGCTGCATTGTTCTTCAGTTAGATTTGGTGGTAGTAGGGATGGAGGGCCCCTTCTCCCATTAAGGTCACTATCTTGGATAATGGTTAAGGAATTGAGCTGGAAGCAGAGACACTGCCAGTCCTGGGACTTTGGATTTATTAAAGATGATAGAGAAGGAAGCCCTCAAAGTTCCGTGTAAGAATCAGGCATTTGGGCCTGAGTAGGTCTGTTTGACTTCACACCAAGGGAACTGACTAGTTTTCTCTGTCCTTGGGTCAAGTTAAGTCAAGTCAAGTGACACTTACTAAGTGTGCCAGGCTCTGTGCTAAGCACTGGAGGTACAAAGAAAGGCAAAAAGCAGTCCCTGCCCTCAGGGAGCTCACAGTCTACTAGGGAAGACAACAGGAAAATGTCTATGTGCCAGCAATATAGGCAGGCAGATAGAAAGAATACCAAGAGACAGCAGTCATGAAAATCCGCAGAGGGGGAGGAGAGGGTGATTAATAGTGTCCAAAGTGTCAGAGAGGTCAAGAAGGATGAGATTTGGCCATCTGGAGATCACTGGTGAGGAGCTTGAATTTGCCCCCATTCCCAAAGAAGAGAAAGGGGGGCTCTAGGGCTCCCTCAGCCTGTCTTTGACATGTAAGACGGGAATAATAACCCAGGTGGTGCAAGGGCATTGCATCCTACCATCCAGCCCTTACTCACCTTGTGATGCAGGAGACGACATGCAAACAGCTATGCACATACTAGAAGAGACGCAGGGCAGATGGCAGGTCATCTGAGAGGGGAAGGCCCTAACAGCTGAAGACACCAAGAAAGGCCTCCCGAGGATGAGAGTTGAGTTGAGTCTTAAAGGAAGCCAGGAAGTGGTGATGAGGGGGAGACCAGGGGTAGAGAATCTGTGGCCTCAAGGCATGTGGCCCTTTGACTGAATCCAAACTTCGAAGTCAAAGGGCCACACTTGAGGACCTAGAGGGCCACATATGACCTCGAGGCTGCAGTTTCCCCACCTTTTGGGTGGGAAACAAAGCCAGAACAAGGCATGGAGATGGGGGCTAGAGTGCTCTTCAAGGAACAGCAAGGAAGACAGAGTCACTGGATGCCTGAGTACATGGAAGAGAGTAAAGTGTAAGGAGACTGGAAAGGTAAGAAGGGCCAGGTTACAGAGGACTTTAAAAGACAAGTAGGTGGGATATTTGATCCAGGAGGTGATAGGGAACCACTCAGTGTTAGAGAGTAAATGGAGTGACATGGTAGACTTGCACTTCAGGAAGATCACTTAGACAGAGGCAGGGAGGGCAATTAGGAGACTATTGCAATCATCCAGGTGTGAGGTGACTCACTGAGGGCTTGTATCAGGGTGGTGGTTGTGTGAGTGGAGAGGCGATATAGATATATATACACACACATACAAAGTATATATGTATGTGTGTGTGTATATATATGTGTGTGTGTGTGCATACATATATATATATGCATATATGTATGTGATGTTGTGAAGGTCATAACAACCTGAGGACAGACTGATATGTGAACTGAGTGCCAGGGATAGGGTGAGGGTTAGGTGATAGGATATATCTGATAAGAATGGCCCTAGAGCCTAGGAACCTTGAAAGCCTACCCTGGCTCATGGGCCATGGTGGGGGATGGGGGTTTCTTTTCAGGGGCCCAGCCTGGGAGAAATGTGAGAAGATGGACTCCAGGGCAGAAGAAACCCCAATCTCCCACTGCCACTTTGAGTCTCGAAATGACAGTGCCATTCACATACTGGTGGAAATAACCACTGAACAGGGCACCATCCATCAATACCTCGCCACTCCCTTCTGGATGCATCAGATCGGTGAGAGATTCTATCCTGCCACCACCGGCCCCTCTCCCAGACTCCGCCACCACCTCTTCCTGACTCCCAAACCTTTGCACCCCAACTCCCTCCTTCTTCTGGTCCCCAGCTGCTCTGAGGGATGCTCTCCATCTGCTTCTCCTGCCTCTCCAGTTCTCACTGAAGCTCCAGAGCTGCAGTGGACAGTCGGGTCCAACGGGCAGCTCAAGCTGACCTGGAGGCCCCCCTTGCCCTGGCTACCAGGGCAGACCCACTATCAGCTCCGCTACTCTGGGCAGAAGCTCGACCACTGGAAGGTGAGGGGGCCTCAAGCTCTAGCCCCTTCCCCCTGGCGTGTCACCAGGTGTGCCAGGGCAAGCTGGGAGTTCGGGTATTGCGTGTGAACCTCGGGTCGTGCATGTATCAGCGTGTGTGTGCAAGCTCTCAGGGGGTGTCACGGTGTGGCTATGGGAAGGTCAAGATGTAAGTATCAGTATGTGTTTGGGCGTTAAGTATGGGAGTGTTAGGATGTATTCACGCGAGGGAGGTGAGTGCAAACCCATCTGAACCGCTGGCTACGCGCGTGTCACGGTGTACGTGGGAGTGTATGTGGCAGTAAGGCTGTGTCAGGGAGGGCAGGAGTGTAGAAGCGCTTATAGGGCAGGGAATGTGGAAGCGTGTGTGAAGAATAAGATCGTAGGTCAGGACAAAGGTGTGTCAAACTCCTCCCCTCGTCCACGGGCGAGCCAACACGCAGACCAATCAGAGACCGAAGAAGGCCTCTGCCCCCGCCCCGTCCGCACTGGTCTGTGCAGGTGCTGGAACCTCCGAGGGGCGCGCTGGGAGAAACACTGGAGCTCCGGCCCGGGGCCCAGTACCGATTGCAGCTGCGCGCGCGGCCTGACGGCCCCACCTATCACGGACCTTGGAGTGCCTGGTCTGCGCCTGCGCTCGTGGAACTTGCTCCAGAGAGCGGTGAGAGGCAGGGACGGGCAGAGCTGGGGCTGTGCAATGCGCTCCTTCGGGCGCGGCAGGGCGGGTGAGGCTGAGTAGTGTGGAGTCGGGTCAGGGACTGGAGCCAGGGACTGCGGTTGCGCAGTGAGGGAGAGGGCGGAGCTCTGGGCCCCGCCGTTCTGACCTCCGCGACCTGGACCCCCTGCCAGGCTGGGTCTCCGTGGTGACGAGCGCGGTGTTGACGCTGGGCTTCGGCGGCCTCGTTGGCCTCGTGTTGCGGCGCCTCTTCCCGGCCCGATTCAGGTACAGGCCCTGCCCTCTGGCGCGTGCGCGTGCCTGACCACTCTGTTTTCCTCACTTTCCCCCGCCCCGCGCGGTTACAGATGGATACAAGTGGATACAAAGTAGCAGCGAGAGGAGACCTTCTAAAGAGGCAGACCCTAGCATCCTGGAGTCTGAGGCCGACTGAGCCTCGGAGGCTTGAAAGGGGCCAGGGGAGGGAGAGCATTCCAGGCACGTGGGGCAGACAGTGCAAAGGCAGCGATTGAAAGGAAGGCAATGCCATAGTCCACCGAAGTAGAAAGACAGGGAAAGACCAGGTGGTGAAGGGCGTTGTAGGCCCCAGAGACAAGTTTATTATCCTGCAGGCAATAGGGAGCCACCGAGGTTGGTTGAGTAGGGAATGTCAGGGTCAGATAAATCTGGATAATTTGGAGTCTGTGAACTTAGGGTGTTTTTTTTAATAGCTTGATAACCATTTTCATATGATGGGCTTCTTTTGTAACTATGTGTTTTATTTTATGCTCTTAAGAACATGATTCCGGGAGGGTCTGTGACACAGCCATTTAGTAACCGTCTTAAAGGTTCCAGAGCAGGACCGGTTCTGGATGGTTAGGCTGGCCCTTTGGAGTCATCGCTTCTCTTTCCAGCTGACTGCAAACCATTTTAATGACCCAAGTCTACCTCCCCAGTCCTAAGCTCTCTCTTAACTCCAATCTTCATCACCAACTGCCTTGGTAGCTCTGTGGGATCCAACCACAGGGCTTCCTTGCTTTTTCTCACACACAGCCCTCTAATCCCTTACTGTTCCTGGACAGCTCCAACTGGAAGTCCCATAGTCATCTCAAACTCAACGCATCCTGTACACAACTCATTGTCTTCCCCCCTCCAACCCTCCTGTCTTCCCGATTTCCTTATTACTGTGCAGGGTACCACCATCCTCTTGTCATTCAAGCACTCAGTCTTGGTTGGACATCTTCGACCTCTCATTCTCTCTTACCCCTCCCCCCACACCCAATCTGTTGTCAAGGCTTGTTGATTTTACCTCCATAAGGGCTTTCCCCCTCTCTCTGGCACTGCTACCTTCCTCATCATCTCAGGCCTGGACTGTTGCCTGCTTGTTGATCTCCCTGCCGTGGGTCTCATCCCACTGTATTTCTTCCTCTCATCAGCCTCCAAAGTGATCCTCCCAAAGTCCAGGTTTGACCATGTCATCCCCCACCCCCACCCCAGTCAGCTCCAAGGGCTCAGAGGACCAAACACCAATCCTTCTGTTGAGCATTTGAAGACCTCCCCGATGCAACCACCTTGGCTTACTGTTTCTCACATTCAGCCCTCCAATTCCTAACTGTACCTTTGCCCAGGTTGGCCTCCATACCTGCAATCCTTTCCCTCCTCGCCTTTACCTCCTTGGTCTTTCAAGATTCAGCTCAAATCTCACCTTCAGGAGGCCTTTCCAAGCCTCCTAGCTGCTGCTTGAGCCCTCCCCTAGTGTCTACTTTGTGTATCACATGTACAGAGTTGGGGAGTCAGACCATAAACATTTATTAGGCACCTGCTATGTGCCTGGCATTGTGCTAAGTGCTGGGGAAACAGATACTAAAGAGAAAGCATCCCTGCCCTCAGGAGGCTTACAATCTAATGGGGAGCTGGGGGGTGGGGAGAAGGTACTCTCTGGGACATGATGGAGTAGAGAAATCAAGAGAAGGCTGGCCTGGATTGCTCCTTAACTGGAGGAGTGGGCCTATGAGGTCATTGCCCTGAATAGGAAACTACCAGGTAAAGAAACTTGGTCCACCTTCTGCAGGTTCTCTGCAACTCAAAATCCTAGAGTTTTCTGGGGGATTGAGCTGTCCACTGACTTGCCTGGGGTCATAGCCAGTGAGACCCAAGTTGGCCTTCTTTGCTTTGTGGCCAACTGTCCAGCCACTGGGCCTCGAAGGCTTCCTTCCTCCATTAGAACAGAATCCCTTTGAGGGTAGAGATAGCTTCTGCTTTTGCTTTGGATTCTCAGGGTAAGCACTATGCTTGCTGTATAGGAGGTGCTTAATCAATGCTTGTTGATTTTCCCTGAAATCACTCAAGCTCCCTAGGCTGTGGCTTGGAGACAATAGTCCCCTGGGTCACTGCCAGGCCAGGCGCTCCAAAGTCCTGTCTGCCAGTTGTCTCAGGACCTGAGCAGTGACTTTCTCCCTCTCCAGCCTAGGTCCGGGAAGGAATCTAGGGCAGTCATAGCTGCCAGATTGTTCTATCCTCTGTGCAAAAGTCATTCAGTGCGACAAACGAATCAGCTCTCTGCTGTCAGGCCAAGGGCTTAGGCTCCTTGCAGACAAAAGCCAACCTGTACCTGCAGCCCCCAGGGGCTGCCATTGTATACACAAGTAAGTAAATACTGAGCAAAGATCTAGGGAGGCCACTTTGCTGGAGTTGGGGTGTTGAGTAGGAGGAAAAGGGAGCAGCCTCATTTCACCAAATAGGGACAGTGGACAGGGAGTAATGTGAAATAAAGACGGAAAGGTAGGCGGGAGCCAGCTTGGTGGTGAAGCTCTCTCTCTCCAAGATGGCCTCCTTTTTGAGGCCTTCTTCTCCTGGTGGTCACCACTCAGCCTTACTTCTTGCCCTGGCTATTGTAATAACCTCCTCATTGGACCCCCTGGATTCCAGGATCTCTCTCTCCAGCACTTTCTTCATCAAAATTACCTTGTTAAATTAGCTCAACTCTGACCCTGCCAATTCTGTCTGAGAAGCTTTCCGGGCTTGGCATTGCCTCGAAGATTCACTTCTCAGTCAGGCTGCAGCCGATCCTTCCAGGCACATCCCATTGCTCCCCCTCAGCCCATCTGGCCTGCTGGCTCTGCTGTGATCACTACCCTTAGCTTCCCTTCTTTTGGCCTGCACCCATGCTCTCTCCTGTTCCCGGAACCTTCTTCCTCCTCGCCTTCACCTCTCAGAATCCCTGGGTTCTGATAAGAGCCCTTTTCTCTCAGGCCCTCCACCTCCTTAAAGTATCCCATACATGTTCTATCTCTGCACTCCACTGCCTGCCCCCAGACTCTAACCCCTGGAGGGCAGGAACTGCCAATGCCTGACCCCAGGGGATGTTTCATTCTTTTTTTTTTTTTTTTTTTGTGCTTAGGCAGTTGGGGTTAAGTGACTTGCCCAGGGACACACAGCTAGTAAGTGTCAAGTGTTTGGTCTGAGGCCGGATTTGAACTCAGGTCCTCCTGACTTCAGGGCCAGTACTGTATCCACTGCACCACCTAGCTGCCAGGGGATGCTTCATAAACCAGGTTGTACTGGATTGTTTGGGACAGACTTTCTCTGCAAACATCTGTGCCCTTAGAACTCACCCGTATTATCTTTGAACACTTTGATATTTGCTCCCCTTTGTCCAGCCCGATCTCCTCCTCCTCTCTGTGAACTCTCAGATGAGGGCCCAGCCTTTGGTCAGGGCTGGGCTCAGTAGCTCCCTCCTCACATCTGCCACCTCTGGAAGGATGAGCCGTCATTCAGTCAGCGTACAAGTTTATCAGCTGCCTTGCTTTTAGCAGAGAGAAATCACAGGCCCTATCAAGTTGTCAGCAAGCAATTAGTAGATGCCTACTGTGTGCTCAGCAGTGTACAAAGCAAAAAATACTACATAGGCACAAGGTCATTTTGGAGGAAGATGCTATAGTTCAGGGATTCTTGGTTGGGGATAGAGAAGCTGGGAACTTGTTTTTGTTTTTGTTTTAATTTTGATCACTTTATTTCAAAAGAATTTGTTTTCTTTGTGATCATATGCACTTCATTTTAAAAACATTACTGTATGAGTCCATAGGCTTCACCAGACTGTTGAAAGGGTGCATGACAAAAAAAAGGCAAACAAAAACAAAACCCTGCACTAGTAGCCTGGATCTCAGATCTGGAAAGGATAAAGTGCTTGAGCTGAGCTTTGAAGGAAAGTAGAGATTCTAAGAGGTGGAGATGGGGCGGGAGGGCATACCAGGCATAGGACACCGCCTGGGCAAAGGCCTAAAGACAGCAAATAGGGCGTCATGTGTGAGGAAAGCCAGGGTAGCTAGCCTAGAGTGTGTGGAGAGAAATAATGGGAAGGGTAGGTTGTGAAAGGTTTTCAAAGCCAACCAGATGTAGGAGTTTGCTCTTTTTCCTAGAGGCAAAAGGGGCCACTAGAGTTTTAGTAAGGGGTGAGGGGGAAAGAGCTGAGCTTTAGCAATATCACGTTAGCAGCTGGGTGGTGGTGGGGCTAGAGGGGTGAAATGTGAGGCAGGCAGGGAGTCCAGTAGGAAGAGCTTGCCCTGGGTGAGGTGAAGAGGGTGGCAGCTGGGCCATTGGAGCAGAGGGCTTGGATCCAGAAGACGTGCCGTGGCTGTCTGAGGGAAGGAGGGAGTGTGGGGTGAGGAACCATCCAGGATGACACCAAGGGTTTGAGCCTGGGAGACTGGGAGGATGGTGGTGCCCTGGATAGAAGAGGGCAGGGTTTGGGGAAAAGTTGGGGACATGCCGAGTTTGAAGTGTCTGCAGGAAGCCCAGCTGGCCAAGGCCAGTGGCCACTCCTCATCCTGCCTCGCTGCTATCAGGTCAGTTTGTTTCCTCCTTCTGGCCCTCAGTGCATGCCCCCCACAGCCACGGCACTCTCTTCCTCCTGGAAGAGGCTTCTCCTCCTGGGGGGCTTCCTTCACCCATGCTTCTACCTTGAGCGTCCTGGCTTTCCTCACCTGAGTGGGTCTTTAAGGCACGGTGCCTCTCTAAGTCCTTCCAGGGTTTATCCAAGTCACAGGGGCCGCTTCTAGGAGATTGGCCTTGTTAATATTAAGCCTCTAGTTTTCCCTGCTTATTTCCCATAATGATGTGTTTGTATATAGATTTCTACAGACATCTCTGGCCATGGCTTTTATTGATTATTGTCTCTTTTCTTGGACATTTTCTGCTGTCAACTACAGCCAGGTCCCAGTGAGTGTGAATAATTAATCCCATGATTTGAATTCTCACTATTTGAAATTATCATCATATGGAAAATATTGTTTTTATTGTTTAGTTGTTTCTTCATTCATATCTGGCTCTCTGTGACCCCATTTGGGCTTTTCTTGGCAAAGATACTGGAGTGGTTTGCTATTTCCTTCTCCAACTCATTTTACGGATGACAAAACTGAGGGAAACAGGGTGAAGTGACCTGCTCAGAGTCCCACAACTAGTAAGTGGGTGAGGTCACATTTGAACTCAGATCTTCCTGATGCTGGGCCTGGCACTCTATCCACTGCGCCACCTGGCTGCCCCCAAAATATGGTAGCCCAATGGAAAATACAATGAAAATTTTTAAAAAATAAATTTATTAGTATAACATAATAGCAAAGAATAAGGAAAAATCTATTTCTGATTCAGGTTTATTACAAAGTAAAAAGAGTAGTTATGATGAGGAATGCATGACTCTCACCTTTCTTCTTAAAATAAAGTCAAATTTCCTCACACCCAACATACTTAAACCATCTGAAGCTGGCACAAGGGTACCCAGAACAACTGTACAGGGACAGGATGTGCTTGGATGTCCCCCATTTGAGCCCAAACCTTCTTATCTGCCTTCCATATTTTCAATCAAGCTTTTATTTATCTTTCTAAATCTTTCAAACCCAATTACTCAGACTACCCAACTTCCCTTTACATTTCAACCAATTGAATTTGGGAAGAAGGACGAGGGTCATGAATTCCTCATAAGTTATAGAAAGCAACACTTAAAAAAATTTAAATTACTGAATTTACTATATAATAGGTACAGGTAAGCTTACATATAACTACAGATAAGCCTAAATTGATATGTTGGAAATGTTTTTATTGTCATTTAAAATATTTTAGCAGCATGAACCGAATTGCCTTCTTTTTTAAATCTTCATAGAGATGCTGGTAGGTGCACAGAATTTTATCCACTTCTCATGAATTTACATGCTCACATTCTCACACAATAAGCCAAGTGTAGCTGGATAACTAGGAACATTTTCTAAAATCAATAATACTTTTACTGTCCTAGGTTTAAATAAACTTGAAAACCAGTCTTTGGAAATAACTTGAGTCACTCATCATGCTTGAAGCAGTCAATGATTGTCACCTCTCCCAATGGGAGGGTTTCAATATTGATAAACAAATACTGGTTTTGATTTAAAATCCTCTTCTGAATTATCTCCCAACAAAAGTGCTAAGCGATTCTTTGACATTTTAAATCCAGGTAGAGCTTTTTTCTTTCTTAGAAATAGATGTTCTGGAAGGCATCCTTTCCTAGAATAAGCCTGTTTCATCCACCTGAAAAATTTGTTGATCAGTGCATCCATTTTCTTCTTCAAAACATCAGAATATTTTACTGCCACATCCTCATCTGCCTCTTTGTTAATTTTAATATTATGCAATTGAATTCAATTTTTTAAATAATATTTTCTTTTCCCCAGTTACGTGTAAACACAATTTTTAACATTTATTTTAAGAAATTTTTGAGTTCCAAATTTTCTTTCTCTCTCCCTGAAAAAGTAAGCAATTCGATATGTTATACATTTGAACTCAATTTTTAAAGCAATCAGCCAAGCACAGTAAAAATTCCTTCAGTATCCACTTCATTTCCATTTTATTTCCCTGCCTTAAATACACTTGAAGCTTTTGTCTGCTGAATGGGGGGCTGCTGTGCTGAAAGGAATGCATCAATGCTTGCAGTCCTCAATCCTACTGCTAAAAGATACTCCACGTTGATTATTGTAATTCTTCTCTTCTTTGTAGTTGTTTGCAGGCCACAAAGGGCTGGTGCAGCCTTGCCTTTTTCTTTGATTTCACCTGCCTGTTTTATAAGATTCAGCCCAGTAGATTCAGACACTGACATCATGGCCGATCTTAGGACCATGTCCATTTCATTCAATTATCTCGTTATTGTTTTGATATTACAGCAGGATGCTGCTTTTTTGTGCTGGCACTGTTTCCATCTCACATAGCGTCCCTTTTGTCCGTAAAGACATTAATTCAGCTAATGGTAATATGGTACATATCAGCACAGCCCATCCACATGCAGTGATCCATAGCAGTATGTTAAAGGCCTTGAAAAGCTGAAACATGTCACTTAATTGAATTTTGGCTTGCATTAGATGTGACCTGGTCGTGTTTTATAACTTGTACTAAATACTGGCCATGGGATCATGAATTCAGCCATGGAAGAGATTTTAAAGGTCATCCCATCCAACCCCATTATCTTAAAAATAGAGTACCTGAGGGTGGAAAGGAAGAAGTGACTAGCCCAAGGTCACCCAGACATCACGTGATGGGGCTGGGGCTAGATTTCAGAGCATGATCCTCTTACGTTGGGGCCTCACGTCCCTGCAGGACCCAGCTTGTCTGATCCCCAGGGTAGCTCTCCCCTTTTTCACTTTGTTCATTAGGCTCACAAATCTCTGGGACCCCGGTCTGCCCTTGTTGGGTACTTTTCACCCCCAAACAGGAGGCCTAAGTGAGGACCAGTGAATCCAAAGCTCTCCTGAAGCCCTTCTTCTTAAGCTACTGTCTCCCTTTCTCTACTCAATCTTCAGTCTTGAATCTGCAGCAGGGGTGGCCCACGTCCCCCTCTCCACTTTAGTGCTTTTTCCAGGCTCAGTGGGCAGTAGTCAGAAGGCATTCTCTGGGTGTCACAGGATTGGTAGACGAAGGGATGCCGTGGAGGTAGCATTGACCTAGATTCTAGAAAGGCTTCTGATCAGGTTCTCAGAATATTCTTGTGCAGCAGATGGAGAAATGTGAACTAGATGATAAAAGGGAGAGGGGCTTAATGATAGAAAACAAAGGGATTCACCAATGAAAGGAGTTCAGAACAGGTGGCATGGCCACCCTCAAAAAGTGATGGAAGTTAGTAGAATAAATGTCCTGGAGAGCTGTGCCCGGCCCTGTGCTGGTCTAACTTTTTTTTTTTAACCCATGACTTGGATAAGGTTATCATCAGTCAGTCAACAAATATTTCTGACGTGCAAACTCTGGGCCAGGCACTGCCAACAACTAGGGGCGGAGAAGGGCACGGACAAGATGCCTGACAACGAGGAGCTCATCTTCGAAGGCAGGAGACAATGTTTAAGGAACTAGCCACTCAGTGCAGGAGGGAAGTAACCCTGGACCGAGGGTGGCGTCAGGATCCAGAGCCAGAGACGGTGACTGGATCTACTGGGATGAGAGTCAGTAGGGCTAAAGAGAATGTCTGCTTTGGTACCAAAAATCAACTTCCCAAGTACAAGGTGAGGAAGGGTCAGAGCTAGACAGGAGTTTGTCCAACAAAGCTCTGGCGGCACTCAGGTGTCACTGAGGCACCAGGTCTGAGCGCCAAACCCTCTGACCTTTCCCAGGTGTGTGGTTTCACCTGGGGCAAGTCAGTTAACCTCAGTTTGCCTCAGTTGTTTTCTGTAAAATGGGGCTAATAATAACACTTACCTAGAACCTATATAAAGTACTTCGTCCTGTAAATGTTCTGCGGATCACAAGGACCAAAACCATTACTACTACTACTACTAGTTTAACCTACTGCAAGGTCAGTCTGGGTCAGCAGTCTCAAGTCCACAAGCATTTATTAAGTGCCTACTGTATGCCAGGCACCGTGCTAAGGGCTGGGAATCTAAAGGCAAAACCAGGCCTAGGTTTTAATGGGGGAAACCACATGCAGACAGGTATGAAGCAACAAGATTTCAACAGGATAAATTGGGGATGATCTCAGAGGGTGGTAATGTGGCAGCCAATTAAATGAATGGGATTGTTGTCCATATCAAGAGAGCCTCAGTTTCCAGAAGGCAGGAGCTGAGGACTCTACTTTTTCCATCCTTTGCACTGGTCAGACCTGGTCTGCTCAGTTCTGGTGGCCACAGTTTAAGAAAGATAAGAAAGCCACAGGGTGTCTCCAGGAAGGGCAGAGCAAAGGGCCTGGAGTCCTGGGCATTTAAGAATCCATCAGAGAAACTGGGTGGAGGGGGTGCTTGGGGTAGAAAAGACTCCAGGAATGAGGGCCCCCTGCCTTCAGCTATCTTGAGGGCTGTTGTGGGAGGGAGAATTCAACTTGTTTGGCCCCAGAGGCTGGAACCAGGAGCAGTGGGGGCAGTGCCCAAGAGGCCAGTTTAGGCCAGGGAGTCAGGAAAATCAGCAATCTGGTTCCTGTTTTTGAGAGGGGAGAGGTAAGCTGCCTCTTCGCTTCCTTTGGCCACTCTTCCCTCTCTCCATGGATGCTAACACAGCTGGTCCTACTTGGGGGGCAGTTTCATTATTTAGTGGCCAGAAGCAGATAAGACAAGGCTCTAAGACACAGTGTGATTCCCTGGGGGAGTGGCACCTTGCCATTGCCGTGGGTCCTGGGCTGTCTTCTGGAAAAGCTCAGGATATCTTGGGCTGGATCAGAAAGGCTTGGACAAGGGACAAGCCTGAAGTCCTAAAGAGTTTGGTCTCTTGGCTTGAGCCCAAGTAGAAAGGGACAGGAGGCCAAAGTGGGCCCTTTCTTTCTGGGGGCAGACTTGAGGGGGCAATTCCACGTTGGTGAAGGACCGAGAGGCTGCTTAGCCATGGCCCTACAAGACGGGGCTGGACCCCAGTTCTGCCATTATCCCAGGCGACTCATGGGCAGCAGGCCCTAGCCAGCCCTACCCTGCCTTGGCCTACTTCAAGCTGTAGAATGGCTTGAAAGAGGACAGCGGGCTCTAGGCCAACTGACAGGGGAGGGACAGGACACCCTGTTCCTAGAACACACTCAAGGGGTAACTTTTGAAGCTTGAAACGAGGTATTCCGGAACCCAACATGTACAGGCTATGGCAGCACGCTGGTGAGAGCCTGTTTGCCCAGGTCGGTGTCACAATACTATGGTAAGAGTACAGCTCCTAGCGCACAAGGGCCCCAGGGTGCTCCCTGCTGCTCCCTCCATACTGTCCCTTTCATTTACCCCCAGAAGAGTCCCCACACTGCCACCAATGCCTGTGTCACCCCTCCTTCTCTGTGCAGGGCCCTGCGGCAGACCCTGTGGCCTCCGCTTCCTGACCTGCATCGGGTCCTTGGAGGCTTCCTCACTGAGCCCCCAGCCTCCATGAGCCAGGTGAGTGATGGCCCTGTCTCCTAGCATTCCTGATCAGATCTGCTTCCTCCCTCATAGTCCCTGACCCCATCTCTTCTAGCCCAAGGCCTCAGCCTCAGGAGGAGATAAAGAAGAGGAACCGAGCCTCTTGGAGGTCCTTTCTGAATCTGTGGATGGCCAGTCCCAGCTGGACTACCCGGTGTTGCTGCAGGCTGGCTGTCTGGGGTCCTGGTCCACACCCTTAGCCCCAGCCCCTTCAGAGTCTGAGCCTGACCCCATCACCCACATCGACAACTACTCCTACCTGCCTCACTTGTCCCAGCCTCTCCCATCCTCAAATCACTGCCACCAGCCCTTGGACACAGTACCTTTCCCTAGAGCCCCCCGGCATGAGTGCCTGCCAGTGACCCCCTTTACCCCACTGCTTTCCCAAGTGAGCTCCAGCTCAGCTTACTGACTCAACCTCCTGGGGACCCATCTCACTGAATGGGGACCTTGCCCTGATGGGGCACATCACCATCTCCTGAGCAAAACTTCTGTCTTCTGCAGTCCTCACCCTCTCAGGAAGACCTCCCAAACTAAGTCCCATCCTTCCCCAGTGCCCAGCCCCAACACCACTTCCTGATTGTGGAAGCCTGAGCAAGGCTGGCTGCAGATTCCCTGGGCTCGGGCTTTGCCTCAGCAGCTGTCGGTCCCCAGAGTGGCCAACCCTAGGACTTGAGCCTTTATTGCAAAGCACTTGGGGTCTTTCCCAACCCCGGGGACAGAGTCTTTTGCAAAGCCTCTGCCAACCTCATTGTACAGAGCAGGAAACAGCCATGCATCCTCTGCCTCTTACACATGTGGCTCATCCCCCATCCGGCTGGAGCCCCTGGGATCAGTGACTGGACAGGATTCATAGTCTCTCACACTGCAACTCAATAAAGATTTCCTTGAATGACCACTTGAGCTTCATACACTGGGGACAGGCAGAGGGACATAAGACTAAGGAGTGGTCCTAGGGAAAAGGGGCCTGTCGGATCCTGTCAGCCTGGCCTGGGCCCCCAGCTGCCTCACAGCAGCGGGGACAAGTACTCGGCAGGTGGCAAATGAGCGTAGTTGAGCAAATGCCAGGAGTGGGGAATGAGGGGCCCTGAAAGGCAGGTGAGATTTTTCTCTAGAGACAGACACTGCCTTTCTCCATTCACCCTGAGTGCTGGGAAGACCTATAGGCCCTCCTCATAGGTCCAGCCACCAGCCTTTCGCCTTTGCTCTGGTCCAGCACTAGGCTAGACAGGGAGACACCTTCTTAGGAGGGGTGAGCTGTGATGGCTGGGGAAGGTGGCACATACGTGGGGCCCTGAAGGACAACAGGCCTGATGACTGACATGGGGAACACTCTACAGCTTGTTAATTTCTCATGTATGCCTCACAAGAGCCCCGTGGGGAGAAAGCCACTCCCAGTATGTCACCCCTACCCCCCCCATTTCACAGAGGAGCAAACTGAACCTCAGAGATGGCCAGAGTGTCGAAGGGAAGATTCAGACCCAGGCCTCTGGACTTTAAGGGGTCAACACCAAATTGCATAGTATTGGAATTCAGGGAAGGGGGAGGAGAGATGATGAGCAGACCTGCCAGGTGAACCTTGGGCACAGAGTTGCTACTCAGCACGTGCTCATGGACTAATGTATGGGGGGCAAGCCAGATGGTGGAGAGCCTTAAATGCCAGGTGGAGGAATAGGAAGAAGTGGAAAGAGAAAAATCCTTACATTTCTGAGCACCATGGTCAGGGAAAGCCCCCAAAAGAACCTTGTGTCTGCAACATCTCTATTAACAGTCTGCATCCAGTAGGCAGCCAGTCACCCTCTGGTGGAAGAGCTCCAAGGCAGGGAGCCCACCTCCTCCCAGGGCAGCCTATGCCCCTGGGAGATGGCTGTTAGCAAGCTTCCTCAGTGGGCCTCTTTGCAGCCTCCTGCTCCTCCTTTTGATTCTGCCCAATGAGGCCAAGCAAAACAAGCCTAATCCCTCTTTCTGTACCTGAAGCTGGCAAGGTTCCCCTTACCCTCTTGTTTTTTATCTCCTCCCAATATTGAAGGGTGCCAGAGGCCTACTCGGTTGGCTCTGATGAGAGTTGGCCATTCCCTGCATTCACTACGGGCTAATGGCTCTGGCGGGCTTCCCTCCTGGAGGCCGTTCAGAGCTGGGCCAGGTGCTGAAGGCAGCTCTTGTGCCGTGTGGTCAGTGTGCTCACAAACATCTGTGCTTGATTTCCACCCCATCTCCAGGGCCTTTTTCACTGTTCTCAGTGCTTCTCCAGTCCTACGCTCCACATCTTGAATTCCCCCTCCAGCCTCCTTGTACCAGCATCCTCCTGGTCACCCAGGCACCTCAGACTCCTCCTCTTTCCTCACCCTTCGCCCCCAGTGAGTTGGTTGCCAAGTCTTGGCCATTCTTCCTTTGACATGTTCTCCACAAGGCTGGGTGACATTGATTTCTTCCACAAAAATGTCCCTTCCCTTTGTGGACTCCATGTCTTTGTGCCGGCCATCCCCCTACCCCTTTCAAAATGCCCCCAGATACCCTCCCCCATAGAGCAGGCTTTGGCTGATTACCTCATTCCTGGTGCCCTTGGGCTTCACTCAGGCCAATCTCCTGCTAGTTGAGGTCCAAAAGGAGCATGAAATAAAACACCCATAATCCAACCAGCAGCTAACAAAAGAACCTTCCTTAGCCATGACAGGAGAAAGCATTGATTCAAGAGCTCAGCTGCCCAGGCAGGCTCCTGGAGCTGGTCTGCCATCTGAAGCCCCAAAGTGACCATGAGCCAGTCACCCTCCAGAAAGGTTTCAAGATCTTTTAAGGGAGAACCAACCTGATTTGTGTGAGGTTGGGGTGGGGCCAGGTGAGCCAATTGTTTCCATCATCCCTAGAATGTAATCCCTTTAAGGTTAGGAATTCATGTTTCTGATCCCCACTTCTTACCTCGGTGCCTGGCACATCCTTAATAAATGCTTGTTGCTTGCCTTATGACTCTCTTATGATCGATTTATGATTCGACACTTCCTCCCAAGATGTAGCATGGCCACCTCAGACCCCAAGTCTCAGGATCGTACCAGGACCAGTCTGGTAAACAGGTCCTCATTAGTCTCCTTGCCTCCCGGTTCCTCCCTCCAAATAACACTGTGGACACTGACAGATTAATCTTGAGCCTGGGTTGGATCATGTCATGTTCTGACTCAGAAATCTTATGGTGTCATCTTCTCAACCTCTATCACCCACAAAATCAAGTCTATGCTCCTGCTGCCTTCAAGTTCCAGCATGACCCTTTCCCCAGCTTTTCTGTTGCTTCCTCATACACACCCCAAAACTGCCCAATTGGAAGCCTTGTCTTCCGAGAATTCCCTGTTCGTTGCCAGCCACAGTCCCAGAATTTCCATAGCCCTTTCTGCAGCATCACCAAGAAGTCGTCATCCAGCCTTCCCTGGAACCAGTGATGATAGGAAACTCACTACCACCCCAGGCCACTTTTGGACAGCTCTCTCATAGGTTTTCTTTACTTTGATCCTAAAAGAGAAGCTGTGTGGCATGAGCTGGCCTCGGACTCAGGAAGACCTATGTTCAAGTCTGGTCTCTGATGATGACTGGAGGAGCCTGGGCAAATTATTGCGTCCTTCCTGGGATATCATTGCAGGAAAGCCTCACCCATGCTTCATTTACCTCCCTCGTCTCCTGCCAGCTCCACAGTCTCACCAATCCGTTCCCTCTGCCATCCTGTTCTGGAGCCAAGATCAAATCAACTCTGCCATTGGGTCACCCTCCCAGTAACTTTCTGGAGCAAAGGCCCCAGCCCCCACCACTCAAGTGGGTTGTCTTCTCCATTAGAAGGAGAGCTTGTTGGGGGCAGGGACTCATGGGTATCCCCCAGTGCTTAGCTGAGTGTATGGTACCTCTGAGTTCTTCATAAATGCTTTTCATTCTTTTATTCAGTAATTAATTATTTCATCCACTCCCTCAGCCTCTCAATGCTCCAGGCAACTGTCTAGGACTGTGAATTTCAGAGTGCTGACTACCTGCCCTGGGAGTTTCCTGCAATGAAATCCCTGGACCAGTTCCAAAAACCTCAGTCTTCCACTCCGCCACATTTCCTTCCCTCCTCTAGTGGATTAAAGCCCCATCCTCCACACGCCCCTACTTCCAAGGGACCTTTGTATAGTCAAAAGTTCCAAGCCAGGGAAGTCTTCCTGGGGGGTTTCCCGCTCAGAAACCTTCCCTAACTCCCCATGGCCTAGGGCAGCATTTCGAGTGTTGTGTGGCACAGAGAAGGGGTCGAGGGCTCCCTAGGATTCAAACGGGGAAGGGACCTTAGAGGAGTCTAGGTCTAGAAGTGGAAGGGGCTCCAAAGGCCTGCAGTCCAACTTCCTCATTTTATAGATGAGGAAAATGCGGCCCGCGGAGGCTAAGGGATTTGCCCAGGTTCACACAGGTAATATAAACATCAGAGACACGATCCAGGTTCCAGTCCAGTTCTAGGGCTGGAGAATGCACACTCGCTTTCTGCCTCCTTCCTCCATTCCCTTGTGCATTCCCACAAGGAGGGGACAAGCAGACACAGAGAGCGATAGAATGATGGAAATCCGCGAGTGGGCTGTGGGTATGTTACGCGAGATAGCCTGTTGAGACCCCAGGCTGCCTGTCTTCTCCGAGGCATCTGGGCTCGACACGTCTGTCGCCAAGCTCAGCTGGACCTGGACCAGCTCAAACCCTAAGCCCGAGGGCAAGGGAAGGGAGAGAAACCCTAAAGGTTTTTAGGATTGGGATGGGTGGGGCCATGCTGCAGCGAAACTGAGCCGGGCTGGATGTCGTCGGTGAAAAGGCTGGACGCCGAGAGCTTTAGTCAAATGGCACAGGCTATCTAGAGAGCAGGTGAGCTCCCCATCTCTGGATGTATTCAAGCCAAGACGGGATTTCTCTGGCAGCAGAGATGATGCTCTATCAGCAGGATCCAGGCCATTGCACCCCACTGGTAACAGGGGTTGAAGTAGGTTTAAAGAGCGGTCGAGCAGTCTGGTTGCTGACCAGCCTGGCTCCGCCCCACGCCGACTCGGGTGTCTCGGTTGGCCCCGCCCTATTGGCACAGTCTCAGCTCCGCCACGCCCCCTCGGGTTCCCTGGTCCCTCATTAGGTACCCACACGCTCGGCCCCATGTTCCGCCTCTGCCTCAGATCCGGCTCCTCATTGGCCTCATCCCCAATGTGGCCCCGCCCTGGCCCCGCCTAAGCTTCAGCCTTGGTCTCTCATTGGTCCTGTCTCATGAGACCCCGCCCTCACCTCAGCCCTAGTCCCTGATCAGGCCTCGCCCGGGTCAGCGTCTCCTCTTCCCCGGCTCTCTTCGCTATGCCCCCTGCCTGGCTGGGGTTGGCCTCTCGCGAGGAAGGCGTGTCTCGGCGGAAGTCCCGTCCTGAATCCTGGAGCCAATGGCGGATGGCGGTTGCGGCCGTTGGATTTGAAGCGGCCAATGGGAGTGCGGCGGGAGCCTTCAAATGGCGGCGGCCGGAAACGCCCAGCCTGCGCGGGCAGTGGAGGAGGCAGCAGCGGCAAAAGACGAAGCGAGGCCGGGCGGAGGTGTGAGGGGGCAGGGAACCGGGGAGCAGGGCGAGGGGCGCGGATTGGGGCGCCGGGCGTGGATTAAGTGCCGTCCCGGACGGAGGTGCGACGAGAGCCAGGGTTGGAGCGAGGTCAGGGCTTGCTGTGCAGAGGCTCAGAGGTGATCGTAAGGAGGATGGTGGGAGCCGCGGGGGTCTCAGAGAGCAGAGGATGGCCCGGGCGGGGCTGCCCGCAGGTGTCGCCCCGGGGTCCGAGGAGACCGCCCCAGGGCGAGCAGGGTGGTGAGGGGCTTCCCGGGGCTGAGTGTTGCGTTCCTTGTTTGGGTCCCAGTGCCGCGCGGGCAGGCTCTGCTTGGACATGGGGGCCGCGACCCCGAGCGGGGCCCATGGCGGGCCTGGGGACATGGGGGGAGGTGAGAATGGAGCCCAGTAGGGACGGGGTGGGGGGGGAGGCAAGGAAGCAAGCGCGAATCGAGGCGTCTCTTGCCCTGCAAAAGAGGTGGGGTCCGAGGGGTGGGGGAGGGGGCCTGGAGGAGCAGCGGGCGTCCTGAGAGAGTGGGGGGGCCCCAGGGTCGTGGGATCGCCCTCACTCAGAGGGAGGAGGACTATTGGTCTGTAAACGCAGCGTTATCCGTGTCTTCTTTATTTTGCTCAATGTTTCCCGGTTGGTTTTAATCTGGTTCAGGCCAGACTCGAGAGTGTTGTGGGCAGTGTGCTGGACACCTGGACAACTCTGTTCTTGGGCACCATGAAAGGGAGAGGCAGACGGGCTGGCTTGGACGTGGACAAAGTGGGAGTCTCAGTAGGGCGGGCAGTGAACTGTGTTGTCAGTGCTAGGACATCAGGATGTGCCGTGGACATCAGGATATTCAGAATAAACAGGGGAGAGACCTCACGAGAAGGCAACCACTGAACTGAGCGTGGGGGAGAAAAACGAGGGCTTCTGAGAGAAGGAGGGGCGGAGGAGGGTAGGAATTCCAGGGGTGGGGCACAGCCTGGGCAAAAGCACAGAGGTGAGAGATGGAGAGAAGGCTGTGGGACAGTGACTGGGACAGAGAGTGTTGGAGAGTGTCCTTTCCTAAGGCTGGAAAAGTGGGCTGGAACGCTGATGGGCAGGACTTTAAACGCCAGCCTTGAGAAGTCTGTATTTGGTCCTAGCTCAAGTCAATCGGGAACCACTGGAATTTAAGTAGAGGAAGTTAGATGTGGTCGGCTTTTTCAATTTAGGAAAATCTTGTTAGTGGCTGTGTGGAGATGGGAGGCAGGGAGACCCACTGGGAAAAGATTTAGTGGTTCTGGGGAGTAGAGAGAAGGGAAAAGGTACAAGAGATACCCTGGATGTGTTGGGGAGGGAGACTGAGGACGTCAGGCTAGAGCCCTTAGCAGGAAGAGAGAAGTTTGGAAGAGGAGAGAGTTTTCTTTTGGGAACAGAATAAGTTGTTCTGGACAAGTTGAGTTTAAGATGCCTACAGGACATCCATTTCCAAATGTCCAGTGACATCTCGGTCTAAAAGTCTGGGGGTTGATGGGGTCACCAAGAAAGGAGTAAAAAGTGAGAGCATCTTCACCCCCACCCCAAGTGCTGCCTTGCTTGCTGGTCGAAGACCCAGGGCTTAGCACGTAGTAGGCACTTCTTAAATGTTTGTTGGCTGACTGAGGCAGTGGGAGGCCAGAAGCCCAACTGGTTAGTGAGAGCCGAGGAGTGGTCCCAGGCCTCCTTCTACCCCTGCAAATCAGCAGACTGGGCAGATGCAGCCCCTACCCCCTCCCCTGCACTCACATCAGGCCTCCTAATTGGTCTCCCACAACTGCCAAAGTGACCATGTCCCTCTGCCCAAAAAGCTTCTGGAACTCCCCATTCCTTACCTCTACGGTGAAACACAGGCTCCTCTATTCACCATTTATTCATGGCCCTTCACCATCTAGCTTCAGCTGTTTTTTCCCCTGCCTGGTACATTTTCACCTATTTGGTACTGCCTGTACATGGCGTACCACCTCCTGTGTTGGAGCCTTTGCACTGGCCTTTCTCTCCACCCCCACTCCTACTCTGCTTTGAGAGAAGCCTGGCCTCCAGCACCATCTTGTCCACTGACCTTTTCTTGAGGAGCCTCGATGCCCATGCCCTCCCTGCCAGGCTGCCCTGCCTGCATTCTTCACCAGCTTCATTTCTTGAGCACTGTTGCTGTTCCATATTTGTCTTTATATCCCTGGCCCAGCACATATTAAGTGCTTGGTCCTGCCTTTGACCCAGAATTCCCTCAGGGCTCTTTGGCCCAGTCCTCTTTCTACCCTTGACTGGGGGCTCCTTTAGGAAGAATTCGGTCAGTCATTTTTCAGTTGTGTCTGACTCTCGTGACCTTATTTGAGGTTTTCTTGGCAGTGATCCTAGGGTGGTTGGCCATTTCCTTCTCCAGCTCATTTTAA